TGTACGTATAGATACCTAGAGGAAGGGCCTTTGCTATTGATGCCCCCAGGGTCTGGAATGCTATTGCCAATAAACTGCAACTTGAATCACTACCTATGAGACCTTCACTCAAAACTGCTCTAGAGGAGTTGTACAACCCTAGCTGCCACTGCTATTCAGTGGCCTAAAATATGGCTCTAGATTTTGGTGTTATAATTTATTTACGTAGTTTATTGTTAAAAATTCGGACACAGTCCCTATGATCACTGTTACATTGCATTCATGGCTTTTATTTTGGTGATTTCGAAAAGTTTTTTTTGTTTTGGCCATGTTTTTGTTTATTGTAGTACGGAGTTAGACTGATGGCCTAAATCTTAGTTGTCTTGTGGTTGTTGTTGTTGTTATTTGACTTGCATCCCACTGGGATTTTTGCACACAGCGTTGGTGTACGGTGCTATTTCAGGAATATTTTGATATTTTTTTCCTGTATTTTCTGTTTGCACAGTCACATAATCACTTTAAGATGTTTTCTTGTTCTTATTTTTTGTTTGTTGCGGTTGCACCCGATTCAAGAGCCGAATGGCTCACAGGGCTATACCAAATAAATGAACTATGAACTAACTATACCTACGCGGGGGTAAATATATATTTTTTTGGGGGGGGGGGGTGATCCACAATTTTCGGAAACCTTTAGATCAACTTTACCCCACACTTTCTATGACTTTTTGGACTTTTGCAAGCCTCTTATAATTTTGTTGGTGGTGACATGGACAAATGGCCCACCGGGCTTTCACAATACCTTAGTATCTGTGTGTGTATTTGGAAGGTTTTTAAGAGTAGTTCTAAACTATGTTTTGACCCGGGGCAACGCCGGGTACTTACCGCTAGTTTCTAATAAAAATGTAACGGTCAAGGTGCTTCCCTGCAACGACCTGCTCCTGCCACTGCTGGCGGAAGGGTCTCCAGTAGAGGGAGGGGGGGTTATAGAGATCCCTTCTCGCGGGGAACTTTGGCCTACTCCTCCGCTAACCGCGGTTGTGCTGATGCCGGGTGCGCAGAGGCGGCGCGTGGCGGTTTAAGACGTGCCCGTGCAGTTCCGTTGTTTCGACTGCCGCGTCGGGAAAACGAACCAGTTTACCCCTCGATACGAGCGGTGTGCTGATAATGAACCGTAGCATCGAATGTAAAGTAGAAGTGACGTTGAGCAAAACGACAATTAGTGCCCCACGTGGAGCTGATGTGTGTGTGTGTAGTCCCGTCGTCCTTCCCAGCACCTCCGAGGAGCACGGTTGGCAACGCACGGTGCGAAAGAAGCTGAACGTGCAAGGGTGCGCGGTGGGGAGGTGGTGGTGGTGGTGGTGGTGTTGGTGGTGTTGGTGGTGGTGGTGGTGTTGGTGGTGGTGTTGGTGGTGGTGGTGTTGGTGGTGGTGTTGGTGGTGGTGTTGGTGGTGGTGGTGTTGGTGGTGTTGGTGGTGGTGGTGGTTGTGTTGGTTGTGGTGTTGGTGGAGGTGGTGGTGGTGGTGGTGGAGGTGGTGGTGGTGGTGTTGGTGGTGTTGGTGGTGGTGGTGTGCGCGGTGTTGGTGGTGTTGGTGTTGGTGGTGGTGGTGTTGGTGGTGGTGTTGGTGGTGGTGGTGTTGGTGGTGGTGTTGTTGGTGGTGGTGTTTCGCATGAATTGCATCTGCCCTCAAAGCAGCTTTTTAATGAATGAAGCGCTGCTGCCTGCCTTGTGCAGCAGCATCTCCCCCCTCCAGCTAAGCTGCTCTTAATCCCTTTATCTGTGCCAAACAGCTGGCCACTGACTTCCCAAAGAGATAAATAAATAAGTACATAAATAAACTACGTTTAAATCAATAGCAAACTTACGGTTGTGTAATTTCAGCAGTGTGTGTATAAATATACATATCTGGCCGAATAGCATGGTAGATCGAGGATTCAGCGTACAATCAACAAACACGCTCAACACGTGACTCAATAACACTGCTCTGAAGATAAAATATACACATGATAAGCTACGTATCAGGCCATGGCACGTGTTCGTGTCATTGGTGTGTGCCGTTCCCCGACCATTCGGCCTTGAAGAAGGTTGGGGAGAAAAGTCTCAGCTCAGTTCCGTCATGAACCTGCTGGGTCTCTCACGATGGCGAGGCACCGTGAGGGGGTTGCCACTATAATGTAAGGGGCCAGAGGCTTCTTCTCCTTCGTAGGGCCGACGTTGGTGTAGATCAGGGGTCACTAAACTACGGCCTGCGGGCCGAATTCAGCCAGCGACGTCAGTCCGTCAGGCCCGCCGACGGTACTTGAATCTGGTTGATAAAACGTATTGGAACACGAGACGTTGTGATACAATTTAAATATTATGTTTAGAATACTGGGAGATCTTTACGCGTGCGGAGACCTCCTGACTGCTATGTTCCTCAAATGTACTGTTTTAAATTGTAAATTATTGTATCTAGATGTTCTTGTTTATTGTGACGTTTGCTTATTTCGCGCCATCCCAAGTGGTAGCTCCGCCTACGCTCTGACGTTGCCGTGGTTTCCATGGCAACGTCATGGCAACACGTTACCATGGTTTCCATTGCAACACACACAAACACGCATCTTTCCCGCCCCCAGATTTTCCGGCTGTCAACAAAGGTTCCGACGCTCCAGAAATATTTATTTATTATGCGGCCCACGCTCGTCATTCTTTCAGTTATCCGGCCCAGTGTTAAAAAAGTTTGGTGACCCCTGGTGTAGATCAACAAACTATAATTTTATACCGAGGTGGTCGAGCCGGGTAATTGGGTCAGGGAGCAGCGGAGTGGTGAATCATCGCTGTGATGACAACGATGCCTCCTCCTCCTTCTCCGTGTTTGTGAATCGGGGCACTCAGTTCCACGTTCCGTGGTTATTCTGTTCTGGGTGGTGACCGCAGTCGCCGCACACTGCCGGAGAGGTGACTTGAGGCCCGAGTAATCGACTTTAAAAAGATGTAGTCGATTACAATTTTTTGGCGATTAATCACCTTCATGGACTCATCGTCCCAGCTCTAAATTGTAATATGCAATCCACTGCTGGATGAAGGCCTCTCCTAAGCCGCCGTCATTTCTCGTGATCCTCCTGCGGTGTATAGCAATTAACATCTTTGCATCTCCACAGTATTTTACTTTGAGCTTCAACTCGGCAGACTCCCATGTTCCCGGGGGGAGTGGAGGGAGCCAAAAACACATCACGCGTAGAAATCCGCGCATTCCTAACCCTGGAAGAAAACAAAATCTGATGAGCAGATAGGAAGGACCATGGTCCCCTGCACCTGTGAATGCGTTTAGAGTATTTAGAGAAACGTGCGTTTAGAGTATTTGGCTGCTATACAACGCCACATGATAAGCCACTTCATTGAGCAATAATTTTTTTGGCCAGGTCGCTTCTGAAAAAGAGCTATACAGCTCAGTGGGCCTTGCCTGGTAAAATAAAAATTGTAGTAAAATGTCATACTAAAGTACAGTATATGGAATCCTGCCATGGTGTCATGGTTAGCACACCGGACCTGCAATCTAGAGGTCATTGGTGGCCCAGTGTTGGGTTCCAAGTGGGATTACCGCTTTGCGACGATACTACGATAGATCGCGCGATATAAGATCCGCAATCGTCATCGTGGATACAATTAAAATGGTTTAGTTTTCGTTCGGGATTAAAACTTCATGGCAGGATTGAGAAAAGGCTGTATTTTCCGTACACTCTTACTTGCGAGCTCATGTAGCTGTGGCGAACGTTCTAAAGCAGCGTTTGCGTATTAATGTAGTTCACCCGTGTCATCCTGAAAGGGGTTCAAATCCGCGAGTCCCCGAATGGGAAAAAAACCCCTTTGGTAGAAAGCCCAATAACCTGAGAGAGAGAGAGAGCCCCATATGAACCGAGAGAAACCCGAGAAAACCGAGGCGCAGATATAGTTAACTGTCATGGAGGCAAGGGCTCGTCTCATTGAATTTGTGTGGCAGAGCAATAGGCGAATGTGACTTAACCACTTGGTGAATGCGCCCAGAGTTCAACGATAAATCGTCTTGGATAGGTGTGATTTAATCTTGATTTGAAGCTTTCGTGACTGCAGGAATCCATACTCTTTGGTTCTTTCACATAGTGGGTACAAAATAAAATAAATGACGACGTTTCGGGCGCGACACAAGCGTCCGCCATCAGGTGAGAATGCTTTCTGTGAGAATGCTTTCTCACCTCATGGCGGACGCTTGTGAGAATGCTTTCTCAGAGAAAGCTTTCTCACCTCATCGCGGACGCTTGTGAGAATGCTTTCTCTGAGAATGCTTTCTCACCTGATGACAGACTCTTGTGAGAATGCTTTCTCAGAGAAAGCTTTCTCACCTCATGGCGGACGCTTGTGAGAATGCTTTCTCAGAGAATGCTTTCTCACCTGATGACGGACGCTTGTGTTGCGCCCGAAACGTCGTGATTTATTTTATTTTATACCTACCACGTGACTTTACGAAAAGAGCCGAAGAGTATCGGTGCGTATTCTTGGTTCTTTCGGTAAAGTCACCACCACGTAGAAGGGAAACAATAAAGTGATAAAAATATAAAACAATACAATTCTCACGACGTTTCGACCGCAACACAAACAATCATCATCAGGTGTAAAACCCACAGCAAGAAAATGTTCTTGTTGTTTTATATTTTTATTACTTTATTGTTTCCCTTCTACGTGGTGACTTTACCGAAAGTACCAAGAAGATTAATCCCTGCAGTCACGAAAGCTTTAATCGAAACACATTTACATTTACGCGATCTAACCCAAAAAAACGCGCCAGTCACGTGGTCCCCCCGCTCGGATTAGTCCATTTTGTTCTCGGCGCGGGGGGGGTGGGATGGGATCCACGCCAGGGCCTCTACCGAGTCGCCTCTAGCGTGGTGGGGGGGGGGGGGCGGTGGAGACGTTTGCCTCGTTTCTCCTTCACGACGTTTGAATTACAATAACAAATAATAATGTCTTACTGTCATTGTTATTAACGTCTCGCATCCGCCTCTGTCAGACCTCGGCGATGTCAACGGCGTCGGTGATGGGGTCCGGCTCTTCGTCGTCCGGCTCTTCGTCGTCCTGCTCTTCGGACGGAGCCTCGGGCTCATCTAGCGGGGCGGCCGGGAGAGGCTCGCCTCGAGGCGGCCGGCGCAAGCGGCCGGCGCAAGCGGCCATCCGTGACGGCCTCGTGAACTCGTACGAAGACAAGGTCAAAGACTTCTTGTGGTGGGTTGGGTTTGACGCGCGCGGGCGGCATGGCGGTTTGTCGACTGTTCATTCGCGTACGCGACAGAACCCCAATCTACTCGTGGATGAAGGCCTCCAAATTACGCGGTGTCGATACTCTTTGGTTCTGTTTACCTACGTGACTTTACCCAATAGAACCAAAGAGTATGGATCCTTGCAGTCACGAAAGCTTTAAATCTAGAATACGCAGTGTCGCTCCGTGCGAATTGCTTGTCCATACTTCACCACGCTGGTCAGTGCGTGTTTGGGAAGTACTTGGGGGGGGGTGGCTGGGCAGGACTGGTTCAAGTATCGCTTGCCACCGATGTAAGCCGTCGCCGGGATTCTATCCCAGGTACAGGGAGTAGCTACCCGTGGATTGAGTGGTTACGGCGCTCCGTGACCCCGTTTTTCCCCCCCCCCCCCGAGTTTGATTCCAGGCAACGGCCTAAACCTCAGTGCCGAGAGAGAGAGAGAGATGCCCCGAACCGGTTCTGGAACTTGGCTTCTGTACAAAGCCGCAAATGAAGTAGCAGCAGCAGCAGTGCGCTGGAGGATGATCGAACAAACATCGTCGCCTTTTGATTTAAAGCTTTCGTGACTGCAGTAATTCATATTCTTAGTTCTTTCGGTAAAGTCAAGTTGAAGGGAAACAACAAAATAATAAAAAATATATAAAACAATAAAAATTATAACGACGTTTCGACCATAACACAAACGGTCGTCTTCAGGTGTGTTGGTTTGCATAAATGTATTTTTAAACGGTGCATTTATTTATTTATAAAAAACGTTAGCGCCACGCGCAGCGATTTGGCAGTTTATTTAGGACTAGTCCATCTATATTCTGAAAAGAGGAGGGGGGAGACGAATTTTTTTTTATGTATGCTGTCTGAAAGCCACTGTAAGCGTGAACAATCAATTAAGACCTGAAATGGTTTATCAAAACTTTCCAATGATTGCTAAAATAGAATCCATCTTATCGGTTGAAATTGTATCTGTGCTTGTATATGTGGATAGCCTCATGAACGAATCTCTCATGGTAGCCAGGTGGCTTACAAAGACTATACAATCCGCAAAGCTATCACTCAAACCATGAAGAAGGACCCTCTTGAGGAGCCTTTCAAAACCATCACTTTACCCTACATTACAGGGATCACAAAAAAGATCTCCAAAAAAAATTCGTCTCCCCCCTCCTCTTTTCAGAATATAGATGGACTAGTCCTAAATAAACTGCCAAATCGCTGCGCGTGGCGCTAACGTTTTTTTATAAATAAATAAATGCACCGTTTAAAAATACATTTATGCAAACCAACACCTGAAGACGACCGTTTGTGTTATGGTCGAAACGTCGTGAGAATTTTTATTGTTTTATATATTTTTTATTATTTTGTTGTTTCCCTTCAACGTGACTTTACCGAAAGAACTAAGAATATCGTCGTCTTTGTCAACTCGCTTGGTGTTTTTCTTCTCACACAGCTTAAAGGTCGTGATCTAAGCGTGGCTTCTCCCACTCCAGCGCTGTCCTCCAGATAGTCTCGTCCCTTCACCTGATGAAGGCCGCTTGTGTTGTGGCCGAAACGTCGTGATTTTTTGTTATTTTATTTTCACCTACGTGACTTTACCCAAAAGAACCAAAGAGTATAGACATCGTCGTGGACGGGCAGGCGGCAGGGTGCGAGTGTGGGGAGGCACTCGGCCACCAGTTGATCATTGGCATGGCTTTTGGTCATTTAAAGACCCTTGTACGAATATCGGTGAGACACTTTACTTAAAAAAAGTATTTACGTCATTGGTTTAATGCAGTATTGATTGCGCTTAGTTTGTGTTTGTGTTCGGTGGGTGAATGCCAATAACGACGTTTATTGTTTACGTTTATCCGGGGATGCTTAATTGAGTTTCAAGGATGTTTTAGATGTTTATGCAAACGGTACTAACATCGCAATTGGACTCGTTCCGTCACTCCAGTCTACTTCTACAGTGAAATTATTCGACAAATTTTGCAGAAGTTATGTTAGCCATTGTCCCGCGTTTGCTTTGTTTTTAAAAATAATTGTTGGCGCTTTACAGGGCAGACTGGACTTAGTTGTACTAAAAATGTATTATTTTTAACAGTTTTTTTTGGGTCCTATAATAACGACAACAAAGTATTCGTGTTTCCAAGGAACATTTTATCGGGGACATCTGAGCTCGGTAACGTTCTAATACACCATTACTATAATTGCCATAGCTGTGTAATTGCTTTAGTGGATGCTCTGTTAGTCCTAAAAGCTAAAGCTGATTGATGTCTCAGTGTGCTGAAGTTTCTATTTAAAGCTTTCGTGACTGCAAGGATTCATCTTCTTTGGTTCTTTCGGTAAAGTCACCACCACGTAGAATGAGAATAAAGTAATAAAATAACACAATAAAATTCTCACGACGTTTCGGCCATTCTACGTGGTGGTGACCTTACCGAAAGAACCAAAGAAGATGAATCCTTGCAGTCACGAAAGCTTTAAATCGAAATTTAACCGCCTCTGCGGGGAGGGATTTCACACAACCTTAAGCACCTGAAGACGGCCGCTTGCATTGTGGCCGAAACGTCGCGATAATTTTATTGTGTTGTTTTATTATTTTATTCTCATTCTACGTGGTGGTGACTTTTCCGAAAGAACTAAAGAAGATGTGCTGAAGTTGCCACAGCTATCTGTCTGTCCTCGAGAAGTCGTTCTTAACCTTAACTGCAACCTTGCACCAAATTGGTTCTCAATTGTATTTTTATGACGTGAATAAAACATCGACTTGATAAAGCAAAGTAGTTGTATCATTAGACCTCCTTTGGCAGTACCAAAATATAATAATAGGGTTTTTTCCCCTTTTTTCTGGCAACAAAACTGAAACCTTTTTACAAGGATTCATGTTACTGCATTAACCACAATACCTGCAGTCAAAATGCAAACAAAACACATACTATGATAATATATGATGCATTGCCCTTGAAACTGATTGGTCCACGCCAAGGGACGGCTTTCTTTTGAGCCTCGACCCAATTGGTGTTCGACCAGATGACGCCACGAGGCTTGCAGCTCAAAGACAATGCACTGTCAAAAGTAATGAGGGCTCGGGGTGAGCATCTACATCATTAGACCTCCTTTGCCAGTAACAAAATATAATAATAGGGGTTTTTCCCCTTTTTTCTGACAACAAAATTGAAACCTTTTTAACAAGGATTCATGTTACTGCATTAACCACAATACCTGCAGTCAAAATGCAATACAATAAACATACTATGTTTGCATTTTGACTGCAGGTATTGTGGTTAATTCAGACACATACTATGTTTGCATTTTGACTGCAGGTATTGTGGTTAATGCAGTAGACATGAATCCTCGTAAAAAAAGGTTTCAATTTTGTCGCCAGAAAAAAGGGGAAAAAACCCTATTATTATAAAGTAGTTGTAATTACGTGCCCGCGCTGACGTACGCGTTTCAACGATTTACCTTTAAAAACAATGTGGCCATGCCTCGCACCCCCAGAACGGTAATCTCGCACCCCCAGGAGGTGCCCGGGTTAAGAAGAACCACTGCCCTAGAGCATCTTCTGTGTGGAGTACTTTATTGGCAAATCGTAGCTATAGAATCCTTAATTGTCCGACTGCGTCAGCTGTCTTAGTCTGTTCGTAATGCTCTTCATCTGTTAAAGCCTAAGTGAGCGACAAGACTGCGTAGTATATATGATGCTGTGTAAACATCAAATATTTTTTTCGTATAAAAGAAGGATCTTGCATGAGGATGTTTGACCAAATCCATGCTGTAGGTTTTTTTTGGGTTAGATCGCGTAAATGTGAATGTTTTTTTGATTTAAAGCTTCCGTGACTGCAGGGATTCATATTCTTGGTTCTTTCGGTAACGTCACCGCCACGTAGAAGGGAAACAATAAAATAATAAAAATATAAAACGACACAATTCTCACGACGTTTCGACTGCAACGCAAGCAACCTGATGATCGCTTGTGTTGCAGTCTGATTGCTTGTGTTGCTAACCTGATGATTGCTTGTGCCGTTGCATTTTCAGCCCCATCTGTTTCGACACAATGGAAGAGGCGTACATCACCAAGTGTGGCCACAGCTTCTGGTACGTGCTTCTGCTTGGCGGAGAATTGCTTACGTTCACTTGTTGGGGGGGCCGCACGCTCGAGGTTGAATTGTACGCGGCAGGCGGCAACGATCGCTTCAGTGGCCGTGCATGCACGTTGATGAATAAAGGATGTCGTGCGGTGCACCGCGTGGCACTGGATAGTTGTTCTTGCGAGGAAAGACACGGCATCGCGCAATGTTACATTACATTTAGGCGCCTCATGCATACTTGGTACGCTGTGCATGGTCCGTGTGGGATGCGGTAGTGTAGTGGTTAGCGGTAGTGTAGTGGTTACCGGTAGTGTAGTGGTTAGCGGTGGTGTAGTGGTTAGCGGTGGTGTAGTGGTTAGCGGTAGCGTAGTGGTTAGCGGTGGTGTAGTGGTTAGCGGTAGTGTAGTGGTTAGCAGTAGTGTGGTGGTTAGCGGTAGTGTAGTGGTTAGCGGTAGTGTAGTGGTTAGCGGTAGTGTAGTGGTTAGCGGTAGCGTAGTGGTTAGCGGTAGTGTAGTGGTTAGCGGTGGTGTAGTGGTTAGCGGTAGTGTAGTGGTTAGCGGCAGCGTAGTGGTTAGCGGTAGTGTAGTGGTTAGCGGTGGTGTAGTGGTTAGCGGTAGTGTAGTGGTTAGCGGCAGCGTAGTGGTTAGCGGTAGTGTAGTGGTTTGCGGGGGTGTAGTGGTTAGCGGTAGTGTAGTGGTTAGCGGTAGCGTAGTGGTTAGCGGTGGTGTAGTGGTTAGCGGCAGTGTAGTGGTTAGCGGCAGTGTAGTGGTTAGCGGCAGTGTGGTGGTTAGCGGCAGTGTGGTGGTTAGCGGTAGTGTAGTGGTTAGCGTACTGTGCTACGGACCTGGCGACCAGAGTTCGATTCGCGCTCGTGGCTAACACCCGTGACGAATATCTGAGCCGAGACCTGGGCCACCCACCCCATCGTGTACAACAGTACCGGCCTTCATAGGTCCTTGCTAACAACGCTTACCCCAACAGCCCTTGAAGGCTTAATCGGCGGTCTTTGAATTTGTATTCTTAAGACTGTTTCGAGGATAGAAATGGCTGGAGGGCTCAGGTTGCTAAGGTCGGGTCAGAGTTCCAAGCCAGCACTGCTGAGATATCCTGGGTTTGTAACTGGGCATCCATCCATGTTTTAACCTTGGTCTCCCATCTAGCTGGTTAATGGTCAAATCCTGATTGCCAGTGACAGCACTATATACATTCTTCATATTAAATTAGCTTTTTAACCAAATTCTGCTTAACACGTCGGCTTTCACGACCAATATGATCCATTATAGAGGTTTTTGAGGTAGAGCGCGTATAAATATATAAATGTTGTGTCGCTAAAACCCGCCACCACCCGACACAGCCAACTAGTAAGGGTTGTCACCTAAACAGAACGTGGCCAATTCGTCACTAGTACAGCACTAGTGTGTAGTGTATAGTGTAGTGTATAGTGTAGTGTATAGTGTAGTGTAGTGTGTAGTGTATAGTAGTGTATAGTGTAGTGTATAGTGTAGTGTGTAGTGTATAGTGTAGTGTGTAGTGTAGTGTATAGTGTAGTGTATAGTGTAGTGTATAGTGTAGCGTATAGTGTAGTGTATAGTAGTGTATAGTGTAGTGTATAGTAGTGTATAGTGTAGTGTATAGTGTAGTGTATAGTGTAGTGGGTAGTTTAGTGTGTAGTGTAGTGTATAGTGTAGTGTATAGTGTAGTGTATAGTAGTGTATAGTGTAGTGTATAGTGTAGTGTGTAGTGTAGTGTATAGTGTAGTGTATAGTAGTGTAGTGTATAGTGTAGTGTGTAGTGTATAGTGTAGTGTATAGTAGTGTATAGTGTAGTGTATAGTGTAGTGTATAGTGTAGTGTGTAGTGTATAGTGTAGTGTATAGTGTAGTGTATAGTGTAGTGTATAGTGTATAGTATAGTGTGTAGTAGTGTATAGTGTAGTGTAGTGTATAGTGTAGTGTATAGTGTAGTGTATAGTAGTGTATAGTGTAGTGTATAGTAGTGTAGTGTATAGTGTAGTGTATAGTAGTGTAGTGTATAGTGTAGTGTATAGTGTAGTGTGTAGTGTAGTGTATAGTGTAGTGTATAGTGTAGTGTGTAGTGTATAGTGTAGTGTATAGTGTAGTGTATAGTGTAGTGTATAGTGTAGTGTGTAGTGTATAGTGTAGTGTATAGTGTAGTGTATAGTGTAGTGTATTGTATAGTGTATAGTGTAGTGTATAGTGTAGTGTGTAGTAGTGTATAGTGTAGTGTGTAGTGTAGTGTATAGTGTAGTGTATAGTGTAGTGTATAGTAGTGTATAGTGTAGTGTATAGTGTAGTGTATAGTGTAGTGTATAGTGTAGTGTGTAGTAGTGTAGCGTGTAGTGTAGTGTATAGTGTAGTGTGTAGTGTAGTGTAGTGTATAGTGTAGTGTATAGTGTAGTGTATAGTGTAGTGTGTAGTAGTGTATAGTGTAGTGTATAGTGTAGTGTATAGTGTAGTGTATAATGTAGTATACTAGTACAGCTCACCGGTGTGTTGGATAGCCAAGCCACAACATTAACAATCTGAGTACGACGTTTCGCCAGTAATCACAACTAGCTTCATCAGGCGACAGACAGATTTGTGGAGAAGTCTTACTGTCTCGTTACCTTATATAGAGGCGTAGATGTGGTGACCACGCTTCTGCGCTCTTGCACAATGATGGGGGAGGGGGGATCACTGAGGCAACGTACATGATGCATGTGCATTATGCAGGCCCTTTGAACCAGTCCTTCCTGTCCATTGTGTTTATTACCAACGGTAATCCCTATTGGAGTACGCTGCCCTTTGTAGGCATGCATTTAACTAATGTATTATTTGATGATTCGCTTCCACGCAGCACTCAGGCGGTAGCTATCACAACGGTTAAAGTTATTTTGATTTCTTTCAATTTCGATAGATTCTCTAATTAGTCTTGGCCAGTAGTCGCTCGTTTTGCACAACACTTCAATATTATTGGCAGGCGTGTTCTGCTACTGCTGACAGTTGCATTTGGGAGAATTTAATATTCCTCTGATGTTCTTTTAGTCTTGTGCTGATCATTCGTCCTGTTTGCCTAACATAACATTTACCACACGTGCAGTTAATCCTGTACACACCTTCTTTGGATAGCTTCGGTAATACATCTTTTTCAATGCTCTTGCTATTGAAACTGCACCAAGTAATGAAAACGATTAAAATACCGCACATTGCGGGAGTAACTGATAAACTAGCCAGATGTTTGGAAAAACAAAACATCCGAGTCAGATTTGGCACGGTACATAAAATACAGAAATTTATTTCTGCTACAAAAGATGTATTTACCGAAGCTATCAACAGCTGGTGTGTACAAGATTAAGTGCACATGTCGTAAATGTGCAAAGTGATGTTGCTTTGGTGTCCACTGCAAAATAGAGCGGCTCACAATTTTCAGTGTAATTAATGATTAATCAAGCCTTGCGAACGAACACCGTTGTGAGTTTGTTTACGAAAATGCAGCGTTATCAGTGCATTATAAGATGAAGCCAAGCGTTCTGTTAATAAGGAACTACCCTGGGTGTTTTATTTCTATGTTTATAGCAAAAGTCTGAGTCCTAAAATGCCTTTGGTGAAATTGTGCCCGTTAACTCTTACTGATAAGCTTTCTTTTCAAAGTACTTCAAAGTTTACTTCTTGCTGAGCAGTAGTACACACACACACACACGCACTCATTTTATTTGGAATGGACCCCATTATTTAGATGGAGTGCATTTGCCACATATGACAACCCAGCAACATTTGCCTTGCAAGCCCTAACTGCTGATGAGACCTCAAACGTGTAAACTGGTCCATAGTTGGTTGAACATGCGTCTGGAAAGCCAGTGGGCATTTAGAATATATACACGTGTGGAAGCAGAATGTAGTTATGTGTGCATAGTTCTCTACATTTCAAGAGGAATGCATAGCGATGTATCATGATTCCTCGGCGCATTGTTATTTAATATTGAACTTTGCTTGGTTTGCAGGCAGGCACCTTTAAACACTTAGCATTCGCGTGATCGTAGTAACGTCCACTTTTAAAAATTGTAATTTTTACGTTAATGAATTGACAGCTGTGGCATTTTTGCAGGCTACATCATAGGCAATTGAATACGTAAGCCATACACATCGAAGCCAGATGCTTTTTTTTACTCCCATTTTTAAAAGAGCCCCAGTATTCGGTGACCTCAATGTCCGACGTATTTTTTTCCAGTTTTGTTGGGAGAAAGCAGATAGGGTTTGCAGGAAAACCACCTCCTATTAAAACTCACAAATTCACAGCCCTTTTCAATTCACTGCTGGATGGAGGCCTCGCCATGTGTTGTCGGTCGTGGGGGGTTTGTTTTACTGTACGTTGCCACTCCGGTCAGAGTGCTTATTGAAGTTAGTTCTCAGGTCCCCAGGACCGGTTTGGATATGACGTGCCACTGATGTTAGCCTTGGCCTAGAATCCAACTCGGGCTGCCGGGTTCACCGCATAGTTGCCTAACCACTGCTTCCCACGCTCCTTCCCCGTGTTGCCTGCCAACAATTGCGGTTGTGCTGGCTTCGAGTGGCGCGGCACGGTTTGCGTTTCGCACGTCCGATAATTGCCGGGAAACTTGTTTTTTTTGTTCAAGCCGAATAGAACGCACTGCAGCCCCTTTAATTTGGCTTTTGTGCCAGAGTCTCGCCCGGTCAGAGCTAACGCAATGCGGATGCTGAAGTAGTTTGTTATTGCGTTCCATTTTTTGCTCCGCCGTCTGATGAATGCACGACAATATTCGGTGATTTGTAAACTTTCCGAAAATGCTAATAACGATGATTGCCAATTTCCTCGCCGTTGCATTTTGTCTGTTTCAGTGGCAAATGCATCCGTCGGAGTCTGGAGGAGACGAATCGTTGCCCAAATTGCAGATACCTCATTGAGCATCCAACCCACATATTTCCCAACTTCCTCTGTGAGTTGTTTTCACTTATCTTCCTTCCACCTGCATTTTTGTTGCATATATTTGTTTCACCACAATGCAACACACGCCTTCAATTAACGATGCTCGCATTAAATTTTGATTTAAAGCTTTCGTGACTGCAGTTATTCATATTCTTAGCTCTTTCGGTAAAGTCACGTTGAAGGGAAACAATAAAATAATAAAATATATATTAAACAATAAAAATTCTCACGACGTTTCGACCATAACACAAACGGCCGTCATCAGGTGTGTCGGTTTGCATGACACACCTGATGACAACCGTTTGTGTTATGGTCGAAACGTCGTGAGAATTTTTATTGTTATATATATTATTATTTTATTGTTTCCTTTCAACGTGACTTTACCGAAAGAAAGATGCTCGCATCATTGAATATTTAACGGCTTTTTGTTCCACGCGCGTTTTGTCCGCAGTGAATGAGCTGATCCTGAAGCAGCGTCAGCGGCTTAAGGAGAAGAGAATTAAGATGGAACAACCGGTAAGTGTCCCACGTGCACGTCTTGCCTTGGCCGGAGATGTGCAGGGAAAAAACATAACCGGCACATTTTGTTGCATTAACTTTAAATTAAATTATCCCCAAGTTTTATTCTGTGCAATGGGCAGGATGTCCTTGGGACAACTAATCTGATCGGAACTCTCACAGAATAAGTGCAGCCCTTTGTCCTAGACCAGGGGTCACCAAACTTTTTTCACAGCGGGCCGGATAACTGATAGAATGACGATCGCGGGCCGCATAAACATTCCGTTCAATACTTGGGGGGCGGGAAAGATGCGTGTTTGTGTGTGTGTTGCCATGGAAACCATGGTAATGTGTTGCCATGGAAACCATGGTAACGTGTTGCCATGACGTTGCCATGGAAACCACGGTAACGTCAGAGCGTAGGCGGAGCTACCACTTGGGATGGCGCGAAATAAGCAAACGTTACAATAAACAAGAACATCTAGATGCAATAATTTACAATTTAATATAGTACATTTAAGGCACATAGCAGTAAGGAGGTCTCCGCACACGTGAAGATCTTCCAGTATTCTAAACATAATATTTAAATTGTATCCGTACGTTTTTTCAACCAGATTCAAGTACCGTCGGCGGGCCTGATGGACTGATGTCGCGGGCTGAATCCGGCCCGCGGGCCGTAGTTTGGTGACCCCTGTCCTAGACGGTTATTTTATTATTATTATTGCAACTTGCTTATCCGTGAAAGCTTGACCGAGTCACACATTTTTTTCCAGGAGGGTCCCAACAAGTCTTTTTGTTTGTAGTGGCGGGTCTCAGGGTCTGCTGCGTGTAATATTAATTTGTTTGTAGTCACGGGTCTCAGGGTCTGCTGCGTGTAATATTAATTTGTTTGTAGTCACGGGTCTCAGGGTTTGCTGCGTGTAATATTAATTTGTTTGTAGTCACGGGTCTCAGGGTTTGCTGCGTGTAATATGAATTTGTTTGTAGTGGCGAGTTTCAGGGTTGGCTGCGTGTAATATTAATTTGTTTGTAGTCACGGGTCTCAGGGTCTGCTGCGTGTAATATTAATTTGTTTGTAGTGGCGGGTCTCAGGGTTGGCTGCGTGTAATATTAATTTGTTTGTAGTCACACGGGTCTCAGGGTTGGCTGCGTGTAATATTAATTTGTTTGTAGTCACGGGTCTCAGGGTCTGCTGCGTGTAATATTAATTTGTTTGTAGTCACGGGTCTCAGGGTTTGCTGCGTGTAATATTAATTTGTTTGTAGTCACGGGTCTCAGGGTCTGCTACGTGTAATATTAATTTGTTTGTAGTCACGGGTCTCAGAGTTTGCTGCGTGTAATATTAATTTGTTTGTAGTGGCGGGTCTCAGGGTTTGCTGCGTGTAATATTAATTTGTTTGTAGTCACGGGTCTCAGGGTTTGCTGCGTGTAATATGAATTTGTTTGTAGTGGCGGGTTTCAGGGTTGGCTGCGTGTAATATTCATTTGTTTGTAGTCACGGGTCTCAGGGTCTGCTGCGTGTAATATTAATTTGTTTGTAGTGGCGGGTCTCAGGGTTGGCTGCGTGTAATATTAATTTGTTTGTAGTCACGCGGGTCTCAGGGTTGGCTGCGTGTAATATTAATTTGTTTGTAGTCACGCGGGTCTCAGGGTCTGCTGCGTGTAATATTAATTTGTTTGTAGTCACGGGTCACAGGGTTTGCTGCGTGTAATATTAATTTGTTTGTAGTCACGCGGGTCTCAGGGTCTGCTGCGTGTAATTTTAATTTGTTTGTAGTCACGGGTCTCAGGGTCTGCTGCGTGTAATATTAATTTGTTTGTAGTCACGCGGGTCTCAGGGTTTGCTGCGTGTAATATTAATTTGTTTGTAGTCACGGGTCTTAGGGTTTGCTGCGTGTAATATTAATTTGTTTGTAGTCACGGGTCTCAGGGTTTGCTGCGTGTAATATTAATTTGTTTGTGATCACGCGGGTCTCAGGGTTGGCTGTGTGTAATATTAATTTGTTTGTAGTCACGGGTCTCAGGGTCTGCTGCGTGTAATATTAATTTGTTTGTGGTCACGCCGGTCTCAGGGTTGGCTGCGTGTAATATTAATTTGTTTGTAGTCACGGGTCTCAGGGTCTGCTGCGTGTAATATTAATTTGTTTGTAGTCACGGGTCTCAGGGTTTGCTGCGTGTAATATTAATTTGTTTGTGGTCACGCGGGTCTCAGGGTTGGCTGCGTGTAATATTAATTTGTTTGTAGTCACGGGTCTCAGGGTCTGTTGCGTGTAATATTAATTTGTTTGTAGTCACGCAGGTCTCAGGGTTTGCTGCGTGTAATATTAATTTGTTTGTAGTCACGGGTCTCAGGGTCTGCTGCGTGTAATATTAATTTGTTTGTAGTGGCGGGTCTCAGGGTTGGCTGCGTGTAATATTAATTTGTTTGTAGTCACGCGGGTCTCAGGGTTGGCTGCGTGTAATATTAATTTGTTTGTAGGCACGGGTCTCAGGGTTGGCTGCGTGTGATATTAATTTATTTGTAGTCACGGGTCTCAGGGTTTGCTGCGTGTAATATTCATTTGTTTGTAGTCACGGGTCTCAGGGTTTGCTGCGTGTAATATTCATTTGTTTGTAGTGGCGGGTCTCAGGGTTTGCTGCGTGTAATATTAATTTGTTTGTAGTCACGGGTCTCAGGGTTTGCTGCGTGTAATATTAATTTGTTTGTAGTCACGTGCCTCAGGGTTTGCTGCGTGTAATATAAATTTGTTTGTAGTCACGTGCCTCAGGGTCTGCTGTGTGTAATATTAATTTGTTTGTAGTCACGGGTCTCAGGGTTTGCTGCGTGTAATATTAATTTGTTTGTAGTGGCGGGTCTCAGGGTTTGCTGCGTGTAATATTAATTTGTTTGCAGTGGCGGGTTTCAGGGTTGGCTGTGTGTAATATTAATTTGTTTGTAGTCACGGGTCTCAGGGTCTGCTACGTGTAATATTAATTTGTTTGTAGTGGCGGGTTTCAGGGTTGGCTGTGTGTAATATTAATTGGTTTGTAGTGGCGGGTCTCAGGGTTTGCTGTGTGTAATATTAATTTGTTTGTAGTCACGCGGGTCTCAGGGTTTGCTGCGTGCAATATTCATTTGTTTGTAGTCACGCGAGTCTCAGGGTTGGCTGCGTGTAATATTAATTTGTTTGTAGTCACCGTTCTCAGGGTCTGCTGCGTGTAATATTAATTTGTTTGTAGTCACGGGTCTTAGGGTCTGCTGCGTGTAATATTAATTTGTTTGTAGTGGCGGGTCTCAGGGTTGGCTGCGTGTAATATTAATTTGTTTGTAGTCACGCGGGTCTCAGGGTTGGCTGCGTGTAATATTAATTTGTTTGTAGTCACGGGTCTCAGGGTTGGCTGCGTGTGATATTAATTTATTTGTAGTCACGGGTCTCAGGGTTTGCTGCGTGTAATATTCATTTGTTTGTAGTCACGGGTCTCATGGTTTGCTGCATGTAATATTCATTTGTTTGTAGTGGCGGGTCTCAGGGTCTGCTGCGTGTAATATTAATTTGTTTGTAGTCACGTGCCTCAGGGTTTGCTGCGTGTAATATTAATTTGTTTGTAGGCACGTGCCTCAGGGTCTGCTGCGTGTAATATTAATTTGTTTGTAGTCACGGGTCTCAGGGTTTGCTGCGTGTAATATTAATTTGGTTGTAGTGGCGGGTCTCAGGGTTTGCTGCGTGTAATATTAATTTGTTTGTAGTCACGGGTCTCAGGGTTGGCTGCGTGTAATATTAATTTGTTTGTAGTGGCGGGTCTCAGGGTTTGCTGCGTGTAATATTAATTTGTTTGTAGTCACGGGTCTCAGGGTTTGCTGCGTGTAATATTAATTTGTTTGTAGTCACGGGTCTCAGGGTCTGCTGCGTGTAATATTAATTTGTTTGTAGTGGCGGGTCTCAGGGTTGGCTGCGTGTAATATTAATTTGTTTGTAGTCACGCGGGTCTCAGGGTTGGCTGCGTGTAATATTAATTTGTTTGTAGTCACGGGTCTCAGGGTTGGCTGCGTGTGATATTAATTTATTTGTAGTCACGGGTCTCAGGGTTTGCTGCATGTAATATTCATTTGTTTGTAGTGGCGGGTCTCAGGGTTTGCTGCGTGTAATATTAATTTGTTTGTAGTCACGGGTCTCAGGGTTTGCTGCGTGTAATATTAATTTGTTTGTAGTCAAGGGTCTCAGGGTCTGCTGCGTGTAATATTAATTTGTTTGTAGTGGCGGGTCTCAGGGTTGGCTGCGTGTAATATTAATTTGTTTGTAGTCACGCGGGTCTCAGGGTTGGCTGCGTGTAATATTAATTTGTTTGTAGTCACGGGTCTCAGGGTTGGCTGCGTGTGATATTAATTTATTTGTAGTCACGGGTCTCAGGGTTTGCTGCGTGTAATATTCATTTGTTTGTAGTGGCGGGTCTCAGGGTCTGCTGCGTGTAATATTAATTTGTTTGTAGTCACGTGCCTCAGGGTTTGCTGCGTGTAATATTAATTTGTTTGTAGGCACGTGCCTCAGGGTCTGCTGTGTGTAATATTAATTTGTTTGTAGTCACGGGTCTCAGGGTTTGCTGCGTGTAATATTAATTTGTTTGTAGTGGCGGGTCTCAGGGTTTGCTGCGTGTAATATTAATTTGTTTGTAGTCACGGGTCTCAGGGTTTGCTGCGTGTAATATTAATTTGTTTGTAGTGGCGGGTCTCAGGGTCTGCTGCGTGTAATATTAATTTGTTTGTAGTCACGTGGGTCTCAGGGTCTGCTGCGTGTAATATTAATTTGTTTGTAGTCACGGGTCTCAGGGTCTGCTGCGTGTAATATTAATTTGTTTGTAGTGGCGGGTCTCAGGGTCTGCTGCGTGTAATATTAATTTGTTTGTGGTCACGCGGGTCTCAGGGTTGGCTGCGTGTAATATTTATTTGTTTGTAGTCACGGGTCTCAGGGTTGGCTGCGTGTGATATTAATTTATTTGTAGTCACGGGTCTCAGGGTTTGCTGCGTGTAATATTCATTTGTT